ACAGGGATACACAAGGAGGCGTGAGAGCACTGTGACAGCAGGAGGTGCCAGCACAACAGCACACATCTGACGCGCTAGATCACAGCTGCGCGCGCTAGATCACAGCTGCGCGCGCTAGATCACAGCTGCGCGCGCTAGATCACAGCTGCGTGCGCTAGATCACAGCTGCACGCGCTAGATCACAGCTGCACGCGCTAGATCACAGGGACTGCAACACAGAAGCACGCAGCAGCCAATGAACTCACATACACAACACCAGCACCTACCCGTGCAGGTATTGAAATACCAATCTCGCTCAAAACCAAAGATACAAACACAAGACGCCCCTCCATTAGTGTTGTCACAGCGCTCGTTCACACCACAGCTCAGATTGCATGGCGCTGTGTGGAGGCAGAGGCGGCGCAGAGGGGAGAGGGGTGGAGGGGACGTGAAATGAGGGGTAGTGGGTTTCAAGAATGAAGACAACAAGATAGATTAAAAAACACAATGTTGGGAACGCATGAGAGTAGTGAAGCCATTGGCACTGGAGGCAGCACAGCAGCACAGCAGCACGTCAAGTCAAGGTAGCATCACCCACCGGCTGCAGGTGGAGGTGGGCTGGAGACGCACTTCCCGTTCTGCATCTCGAAACCATCGTCACACACACAGGAAGCCGCGTTATCAACAGTTTTGCATTGGCTGTTCGCATCACAGTACAGGGTGTTACAGGGATCTGCGTGGGGGGAGAGGAAGAAAAGAGGGGAGAGGCAGAGGGGACGTGATAAGAAGGGTAGCGGGGTTCAGGATTGAAGACAGACATGATAGGACATATTGAGCGACACGCTCGGAACGCATGTGAGTATTGAAGCCATTGGCACTGGAGGGAGGCAGCGCAGCAGCACTTCCCAGTCAAGCTAGCATCACCCACGGCCTCCAGATGGAGGTGGGGTGAAGATGCAAGCCCCATCCAGCTGCACCTTGTAGCCCCAGTCACACACACAGGTAACACGAAAACAGCCGCACGCGCTAGATCACAGAGGCTGCAAGACAGAAGCACAGCACACAGCAGGCAGTGAGCAGAGGTGCACAACAGTGAGCACGTACCCGTGCAACCATGACCCGGGTCCAGCACGAAGCCATCGTTACAGAGACACGTCCCCGATGGCGCGTCGCAGTGCATGTTCCAACCACAGCCGACCTGTGTGCATGACGGCACTGGGTGGGGGTGGCGGCAGCGCAGAGGGGAGAGGGGTGGAGGGGACGTGGGTGGAGGGGACGTGGGTGGAGGGGACGTGGGTGGAGGGGACGTGGGTGGAGGGGACGTGGGTGGCAGTCAGCATGGCAGTCAGCATGGCAGTCAGCGTGGCAGTCACTGTCACTGTCACTGTTGGCATGGCAGTCAACAAGGCAGTCGGGGGGAGTGTCACTGTTAGAAGGTTGACAGGGATGGAACGAATCGGGTAGGAGGTCCATGGGTTGGGGTCTAGAGACCGAGAGATGGCAGCACAATGGGTCAGCTAGCAATGATTCCCCAACGCGAGGAACTTACCAACACAGTCATTAATTTTTTCATATACTGAGTCCATCCAGAAACTGCAAGCACAAAATGGGTCCCCTGTGACAGGCGCCTTCTCGCAGTGTGCAAGATGTGTGTACTCATTGCCGTCACTGTCCTTCCTCATGCACGAAAAGCCATCGCACCGATCTGGGAAGGAGTTGGGGTGAGAGAACGTGGCAGAGCGAGACATGAACAGTGGGAGCAGGGCTGGGTGTATGAAGAAAGAAACATAAGGTGTAACGGCTGAGTAGGACAGAAAACAGAAAAGATTCAGGAGGAGGGGCAGGGGGGGGATTGAACAAGAAACGAGACAACGAAGCAGGAATGCACAAAGAGGCGTGAGAAAAGTGACTGCAAGAGCTACCATGACACGCTGGAGGCAGCACAACATCACACAGCTGCACGCGCTAGAATACAGCTGCAGAAGCTGTGACACAGAAGCACACAACAGCCAATGAACACAGATGCACAACTGTCAGCACCTACCCTTGCACGTGTTATCCGCCTGCATTTCGAAACCAATGTCACAAACACATGACGCCACTCCATTACTGTTGTTACAATGCTTGTTCGCACCACAGCTCAGATCGCATGGTACTGGGTGGGGTAGAGGCGACGCAGAGGGGAGAGGGGTGGATGGAGAGAACGCGAAATGAGGGGTAGTGGGGTTCAAGATTGAAGACGACAAGATCGTTCAAACGAGATGTTGGGAACAGATGAGAGTGGTGAAGCCACGGCACTGGAGGGAGCACAGCAGCAGTTCAAGTCAAGGTAGCATGACCCACCGATTGCAGCAGGTGGAGGTGGGGTGGAGACGCACCACCCATTCTGCATCTCGTATCCATCGACACACACACACTGGTCATAATCGTTGCAGTGCATGTTCTCACTAATGCAAGTCATGGAGCAGGTCACTGGGTGGGGGTAGAGGTGGCGCAGAGGGGAGAGGGGTGGTGGGGACGTGAAATGAGGGGTGGTGGGATTCAAGACTGATCCGACAGTATACTCTAGACGAGACGTTGGGAATGCATGAGATGAGAGTAGTGAAGCCATAGGCACTGGAGGAAGCACAGCAGCACGACAAGCTAGCAACACCCACCGGGTTCAGGTTGATATGAGCTGGGGACGCACGTCACATCCTGTATCTCGAAACCAAAGTAGCAATAACAGGTAGCCGTGCCATCAGCATAACGATAACACTCGCCGTTAGGAGCACAGTTCATGGCGTCACAGGGATCTGCGTGGGGGGAGAGGCAGACAAGAGGGGAGAGCGGCGGAGAAGACGTGATATCAGCGGTGGTAGTGGGAACGCATGAGAGTAGTGAAGTCATTGGTACTGGAGGGACTTTTGAGAATTCTATATTGGAGTGACTTTTGAGAATTCTCAAAAGTCATTGGTACTGGAGGCAGCACAGCAGCCGTTCAAGTCAAGGTAGCATCATCACCCACCAATCGCAGCAGGTGGAGGTGGGGTGGGAAGGCACGTCTTGCCATCCTGCTGCAGCTCGTATCCCTGGTCACACTGGCAGGTGGCGCTGTTATCACCAGCACGACACTGGCCGTTGGCACCACAGCTCTGGATCTCACACACGTCTGCGTGGAGGCCGAGGCGGAAACGAGCGGAGAGGGGTTGAGGGGAGAGGCAGAAACGAGCGGAGAGGAGGGGTTGAGCGGAGATGCAGAAAAGAGGGGAGAGGAGAGGTGGAGGGGAGAGGCAAAAAAAAGGGGAGGCGACATGAATTCAGGAGGGATCACAGCAGCACGCAGATTAGCGCACAGAATCACATAGAGTGGCACACAGCAGTTTCAACACATACCTTTGCACGTCTTGCCATCCGCCTGCAGCACAAAGCCAGGGTTACACACACAGGACGCCGCTCCTGTGATTTTGTCCTTGCTGCACGTGCCGTTCCCACCACACTTCTGGATCGCGCAGGTGTCTGGGTGGGGGGAGCAACGGGGGAGGGAGTGAGGAGGGGAGGAAATGGATGAGGATGGTGTACAAGGGACGTGAACAAGGAGAGAGTAGTGCAAGAGGTGCCTTCCACCATCTGGAAGCCCGTGTTGCAAACACAGGATGCCACGCCCTGAGCGTCCTTCACACAAGCAGCATTGGCACCACAGTTCTTGATGACGCAGGCGTCTGAAAGGAGACACGGAGATAAAAGGATTAGAAGAGTAAAGCACGAACAGAACAGACGAGAATGGGAGGGAGCAGCGAGAAGGGAATGGAGGGTGGGAAGGAGAGAAGGCGTGAGGAAATGCAAGAGGGAAGAGAAGGAGAGAGTGCAGAGATGGAGAGAGGGAGATGCAATGTGAATGAATAGAGAACTAGCGAGACTATACAGCTAATCTGAAAGATTCAACGCACACACCCCTGGGCAGGTTGTGTTGCGCTACACAGCACGCACCAGTGCATGTGGAACCGTCGGCCTGAAGAACAAAGCCAGCTTCGCACACGCAGGACGCCACTCCAGCACTGTCCTTGATGCACTTGCCGTTAATGCCACACTTCTTGAGCGCACATGTGTCTGGGCGAGTGGAGAGAAGGGGGAACGTGTGGGGTGAGAGGGAAATTACAAAGGGAGAGGCACGTGATTCGCAGCAGCACTCACTTTATAAGCAAAAGCAGTGTAAGACTGGTGTGCCTCACAAGGCATGGCACTTACCGGTGCACATCCTGCCATCCGGCTGCAGCACGTAGCCAGTGTCACACACACAGGACGCCGCTCCAGTCTCGTCCTTGATGCACCGGCCGTTGGCACCACAGTTCTGCATCACACAGTTGTCTGGGTGGGGGGAGGGATGGGGGAGGGGAGTGAGGAGTGGAGGAAATGGGCGCGGATGATATAGGAGGGACGTGAAATTGGGAACAGTCACAGCAGCACACAGAGTAGCGCACAGATGATTTGGGTGAGGACGGTATAGAAGGGACGTGAACAAGGAAGGAGAGAGTAAGGAAGAGGGATGTGAGTAGAGACGCGCAGACAAGGGGTATGGGGAGGGTTGAGGGGAAAGAGGCCAAGCGCGGGTGGGGTGAGCAGCGACGATCGAGGGCTAGCGTAGCGGAGCAGAATGAAATGATTGAAAGGCTGACTGGAAAGATGATGCGTACCAATGCAAAGGCCTTTCACCATCTGGAAGCCCGTTCTGCAAACACAGGATGCCACGCCTTGAGCGTCCTTCACACAAGCAGCATTGGCACCACAGTTCTTGATGACGCAGGTATCTGAAAGGAGGCATGATGATTTGAAGAGTACGACACGAAAGACAAACAGATGAGGATGGGATGGGGGGGGAGAGAGAGGAGGGAAGGAGGGAGTGGAGGGTGGGACGGAGAAAGGCAGGGAGGGAATGCAAGAGGGGAGAGAAGGAGAGAGGGGAGGGAATGAGAGAGGTAGACGCACGCATTAGTGCATGCAAAATTCAGCACGAAACAGTGCATGCAGGATTCAGCACGCACCAGTGCATGTGGAACCGTCGGGCTGCAGAGCAAAGCCAACGTTGCACACACAGGACGCCACTCCAGCACTGTCCTTGATGCACTTGCCGTTGACGCCACACTTCTTCAGCGCACATGTGTCTGGGCGAGTGGAGAGGGAAGGGAGGGCACGAGAGAGTGTTTGAGCCAATAGAGGGGCAATAAAGAATGGCTGGATATGAGATAGGACTGACAGCCCAAATGACAAGCCTTCACACGCTCTGACAGACAGGGCCACTGGCACCTTACAATGCATCAGCATGGCACTTGACGGCATGGCCCATGGCATGGCACAAGGCATATGGCATGGCACATACCGGTGCAAGTGACGCCATCAGGCTGCAGCACGAAGCCAGTGTCACACACGCAAGACGCCACTCCTGCAGCGCTCTTCACGCACTTGGCATTACTCCCACACCTCTTGAGCACACAAGTGTCTGCCAAGGGAAAGGGTAGAAAGGCATGTTAGTGAGTTAAAGAACGAAGCAGAGAGTGTGTAGGGGGAACTACATGACTGTCGCTTTCTAATCACACATCAGCACATACGCACCAATGCATGTAGTCTTGTCAGCCTGCAGCACGAAGCCAGTGTTGCACACGCAGGACGCCACTCCGGCACTGTCCTTGATGCACTTGCCGTTGACGCCACACGCTTTAAGTGCGCAGTTGTCTGGGAAGGGATGAGGGGAGGGAATTGGGCGAGTGACGAGAGATCAAGAACAACAGATGAAGGAAATTACTGCCCACGTGACAAGCCTCAGTCTGAAATCACGAAGCTCTAACAGAGCTGTGGTGAGCAGCAGTGACTCACCAACACAGCCAGTGGGCGTCATGGAGAATCCAACGTTGCAGACGCAGGTGGCGCTGCCCCTGTCCTTCACGCACACCGCATTGGCGCCACAGTTGCGCTGCACACACGAGTCTGGCAGAGTGAAAGAGAGAAAGTGGCCAGAGACAAAGAGAGGGTCCAGGAGGGTAGGAACAGAGAGAAACGGAAGGGATGAGGAGAGGAAAAACGAGGAGACAAAGGCGTGGTGAGACGGAGCATGCACTCGTGGAGAGCAAAGAAAGGTGTGAGTGATCCGCCTGACAAGGTAAGATGCTTCAAACAGAGCAGCGCTACTAGGAGCGGTGAGAGGTGAGCAGTGAGTGGTGAATGGGAGGAATGGGTGAGTGTCCGTCATACCCTTTGAGGGATTGAGGGCACGTAGACGGGCAAGGGTGCGTTTGAGGCGCTGGTGATGTGAGGCGGGTGACTTACGGTCGGCGGCGTTGCTTGAAGCAGCTGTCAGCAGGCCGTGCGAATGGCGAACGGCGGCCGCCCTGGGCGCACAGGCTGAGCGCGCATGGGGGAGAGGGATGGGGGAAGGCGGGGTGGGGGGGAAGGGGTGGGGAAGGGGAAGAACCGAGGAAGAACGGGATGAGAAAGGAAGGAGGGGAGGGCTCCTGGGGAGGAGGTGGATGACGTCAGCTGGTGTTGCTGTGACAGGCGAACGGTATTGTTGAAAAAAAGGGGGGGGAGAGGGAAAGGGGAAACGGGGGAAGTGGGAAAACCTGATAGCAGACAACGAGAGCATACCTGAGAGCATGAGAGCAGCCAGTGCAGCGAGCAGGAGGCCCACGCTCCGAGTCACAGGCACGCCGTGCGAACCCATGATGGTGTGAGAAGGGCTGGAAGCACCGGCGGCGGCAGTGCTGGCAGAGGTGATGCGCCGATGAGAGACGATGAGCCTCCGAGGGCTCAGTCGTGGCGAGTCACGAGAGGAGTGGAAGGAGAGGCTATGTGTGGAAAGGAGAGGCGATATGTGGTAGCGAGATTCGAGCGGCTTAAGTACCGTGAGACGGGGATCCCATCCCATCCACTCATCCCCGCCCGCACCCTCGCCCCCCCTCCCCGGATCGGCAGAGGAGGGGGAGAGGGCGGGAAGGAGAAGGGGTAGGAACTTCCTCCGTGAATGGCGGGATAACGCGCCGGTCTATCATGGTGAGGCGAATGATGCGACTTCAATCGCAAGAGGTCGTCAAGGGTTGAGTTGAGAGGGGGAGGGGGAGGGATGGAGGTGGGAGGGGGAGAAGGGAGCTGCGCCCCCGCGGATGGGAGGAAATGGAGCTGCGCGCGCGGACGGGGCTGCGTCGCAGGTGGGCCACACAAAGGGGGCGACAAGGGCTCATTCTGCGCCGCAGAATTGCTCATGAGACAAAACATGTGCTGTCGTACGCGAGATTGAACCACGCGAGTTGCAAAGTCAAGATCAACCTGACTACCGACGAGAGGAATGCGCGGAAGGGTGGCGCGCCTTTCCGCATTGCCTGCTTTGTAAGAATGTCGCCGCTGCGGGCAGACACGACATGCACTAGCGACGCATTCTTACTGCAGTCACCTTGTCGGGTACTACGTGACAGCTGTGATATCTCCGCGGACCACAGGAACATGCGATGCCTGTCATTGGCTGCGTGGATTACCATACGACAAAGCTTGATCAAGAGCCACCCAATCGGCGATAGAAATTGCGGCGATATCGCACATGGGAACGACGATTGCAAAACAGTGAGCGTTGTCGTTTTCTGATCAGGAGCCACCCAATCCGGCGACTTCGCGTCGTCTCGGCTCGCAACCACACAATCGAAAGAGATTGCGGCGATACTATTATTGCACACGGAAACGACAATTGCAAACAGTGAACGTTGTCGTTTGCCGAGAATGTAGACTTTCAAGCACAGTAAAACCTGAGGCTGCAGTGGGGAAGACCTAATGTGTTCCATCCTCGCCTTACACGTGCGGCGTGCGAGAAATCCTGGCCGAGCAGCCCAGAAGGAAAGGCCGGCGGATATTGGCGGAAGCACGGCGACACTGTACCTACCGCAGACTCGCGGGGGTGCCTAGTGCAGTTGTGGGCATTGAGTGAGAGACGTCCTCGCCGGTTGGGGGAGATCTAAGTAGAAATGAAGGAACTGTACCGCAGAGGCCTCTATTGCGCGCAACAACACAGGTTTCACTCCGCGTGGAAAGAGAGCTAGCGTCCACGTCAGGAGGAAACATCCAAGAGAAATGCTAGTCAAGGTTCTACACCTACTAGTGCCTGACTTCACTCACCCTACCAATCTCTAAGATACACTAAAATGAAACCTTAACTCACATTTCGCCTTCCTCCGCCAAACTTGCTACGGGAAGGAAGGGACAAGTAGGCAACTGTGAGCATGATACGGGTCACTTCCACAACTGTACACGTGTTTATTGCCAGCATACAATCTGATCGATCTAAATTAGGGGTTCGTTTGTCAGGGTTTCAGTCTCGCCTCAGTGTTAAAGCGACGGGCAACTTTTGGCAGTGTTGGGTTCAGAAGTTTTTTTTTTGAACCAGGCTTGCCAGCGCGAAAGTGCTGGCTGGCGAAAACCAGGATTTCGTGCGGACACTTTCCATCCGCAGTAACAGTTCGCCAGGGTTCTGGGTTTTGGGTGGCAAATGTGCACCGTCGCTTTAAGCGACTCTATGCACAATCCGGTGTATAAACCAATTGCATGTCTGTGACTTTTGGCTCACGACTCTCTACCAGGGCTATGGCTGTATATTGGTCTTAACCAAATACAACAAAGTATAAGCATAGAGCACCTAGAAATTTTGACCCCAAAAAAAAAAAAAAAAAAAAAACAATAGCCCAAATGCATACATAGGAAACTGTAAGGAAGTTCCAAATCCCTTACTGCGAGCCTGACCTCACCGCGTACATCACTGTTCACTGTAGACATGTTATTCGTTACTGTCTGCCGATTTGTGCAGGGCAAGTGTGATTGGCCTATCTGCAGAGTGTCTGTTGCGTTAGAAGCCCCTTTGCCCGGAGCGGCACGGCTAAAAGTGGATGTAAGCAAAACAACAATCATAATATTCAGATTCGCGCTCATCTCTAGCCGTCAAGTTGGCAGATTCACTGTGGCTTCTTGTGTATCATTGCGTAACGGACTCCATGTGGTTTTATGATTAGATACAATTATTCAAACTCAAACGCATCACGATCCCAGTGCTCGTGTACCGTGCAGGTGACAGAACACAATAACATCATAAAGTCATCTATGCTTTTGATACTGCTGCCATATCTCCCTTACCATCATCACTCATGTCTTGTAACAGGTTCGTCAATCTTCTTATCGGCTCATCAATCCATGTCATCTCAGTAGCCGCAAGTTTCACATGGCGGCACACACCCATGCCATTGCCACCTACTCTTGATGCCGAGATTCTGTGAGCACATAATGCACCACAATCTTGGCCAGCACCACAACCATCACTGCCAGCAGCCGCACCACAACCACCACTGGCAGCAGCAGCATCACATTTATCACTGCCAGCAGCACCATCAGCATCACATTTATCACTGCCAGCAGCAGCAGCAGCATCACATTTATCACTGCCAGCAGCACTAACCGATCCGCAAGAGTGATGCTGCTGGTGAGTGCATACAGTGACAGGCGGGTCGAGCAAAGGCGCAGCCGGCGGAGCAGTTGAAGCCAGTGGTTTATCAGAAATGCTTGTAAAGGGGACGGAATGAGCCGAGGCACGAAGTGCTGTGGAGCGTGCGGATTCCAAGGCGTGGAATATGCACTCCGCATGCTGGAAGCAGGGTTGCAGGTAGGGCCGGGACCAGAGCACAAAATGACACAGGAAAGAGTTGGGTGCTGACTTGGCGTAACCAGCGAACGATTGTACTTCTGTTTGCCAAACGATAGCCTGTTGAGATGCCAGCCAGATACACAAAGGCTGGAAATGAGAATCTATTGCTGCTGTTGATACAAAAATATGGACATACTTCAACTGAACAAGACAAGGCTTGCCATGCAGGGGAGGGCACTACTTGCAAGCCCATCACTCATACCTGCTGCAAGCCCATCACTCATACCTGCTGCCTTAGTTGAGAAAGACGCACGGCGGACGCTGCGTCCTGCGTCTGGACGCATGGACGCAGGACGCGCGTCCAGACGCAGGACGAACGGCAATTTTTTTTTTCGGGCTGACCGGAAAATACAAAATCGATCGCGAAATTGACATTCGCGATTTCGACGCGAATGTCGATTTCGCGAAATGTCGACCCCCCCTTGCCCAAATCGACCTTCAAAAACAGCCACTGCACCATTTCATTACCCCTTAATGCAATATTGAAAAGCCCAACCCTCTCAACCACTCTACATACATCTACATAACCCAACCAATGTGGCCCACCACCAAGCCCATTTAGCAATGCAACCAAGTCATTTGTGCTTTCTCATTTCACCCACCCACCCAATTCTCCTTCGTAAACCCTAGAGGTTTTAGGGACTCACCCAATTCTCCTTCGTGACGTGTGACGTGACTCACCTTAATCTTGAATATTGGGGGAAAAAATTGTTGTTGGGGAAAATTTTGCATTGAATGTGTGAAACGTCCCCCCCCCCGCTCCTCTTCCCATGCCCTATAACATTTTTTTTGCCTGCCCGGGGGTTTTTTTTTGCCCTGACCGGGCATGCGTCTTTTGTAGCGTCTCCCAGGCCCTGGTGCTGCGTCCTGCGTCTAAGACGCTGCGTCTGGACGCATCCGTCTAAGACGCAGGACACGTCTTTCTCAACTAAGCCTGCTGCAAGCCCATCACTCATACCTGCTGCAAGCCCATCACTCATACCTGCTGCAAGCCCATCACTCATACCTGCTGCAAGCCCATCACTCATACCTGCTGCAAGCCCATCACTCATACCTGCTGCAAGCCCATCACTCATACCTGCTGCAAGCCCATCACTCATACCTGCTGCAAGCCCATCACTCATACCTGCTGCAAGCCCATCACTCATACCTGCTGCAAGCCCATCACTCATACCTGCTGCAAGCCCATCACTCATACCTGCTGCAAGCCCATCACTCATACCTGCTGCAAGAACGGGCGGGCGGCACGAAGGTCTTCAAGGGAGGATAGTGAGGTCATGTGAAGAAGTGTTGCTGATATCTGCCATGCACATGATGTGATGTAAATGCAGGTGCACCAATGACACACCAGCCTCAAGGAGCCGCGTGAAACATGTTACGGCATGGTGCGTGCCTTGCATGGCATGACTACAACCATGCGAGTCAAGAATGCACGCCTTGGCAGACCTCGAACCCTCTCCGTTCATTCCACCATACCTCGCCCGCATTCACCACCACTCCACAATCCCGCACCACCTCCATTCCATTACCCCCATACTGAACTCGCCCCCCACCTGCCTGATCTATGAGCACTCTGTACTGCTGCTCCTCGGCACTCTGCTGCTCGCCCCATTGGAAAACCACTGACACAGACACACCCAGGACTGCAACCATACCCAACGCCGCCTTCTCACACTAGTCTTACGGTGCTACCTGCTCTCCTCCCCACCCCTCCAATCCCCCCCTCTTCCTCCATCTCTTCCCCCACCGCACCTGATCCGTCAGCACCGGCTTGTACCGCTGCTCCACCGCACTCTGCTGTTGATCCGCCGCATCAAGAGAGGCGAGCGACGAGACCAGGGCGCGCAGGATAGCACCGAATTCTGCCCCATAGTCTGACGTTCGAGGGAGTGAGAGCAGCGCCGGGTGGGGAAAAACGAGGGGAAGCGGAAAAAGGGACGGGGTGGGGAGGATGGGTGCAATCAGGCAGCAGACTAGCTCCATTTTCCGGAACATAGTCTGCCGTTGGAGGGAGTGAGAAGGGGAAGTGAAGGAAGGGAGTGGGTGCAGAAAGAAAGTAGAGATGGATGGGGAAGAGTGGATGGGGACCGTAGGACTCGTGTGATGCATCTGGGGCCAGCAGGGAAGATAGACAGGCTACAGGGATGAGACGGACCAGCTTTCAACTGCACCAGCTTCCACCTACCCAAGATTCCACCTCTTACCTGCCCCAGATATCACCTGCCCCAGATATCACCTGCCCCAGATATCACCTGCCCTGGCGCATGGCTGGAGTAGTGCAGCAGCAGCATGGATGCGAATCTTGAAGTTGGAGGAGCGCTGCAAGAGAGCCTGCAGTGTGGCGAGAGCGGGGGCAGTCCTGATGGGGGGAATGGGGAGGAGTACGGACGGGGGACGGGGAAAGGGGAGTGGCGGAAGGTGTTAAGGGGATGGACTGAAAGGGCAGCAGCGGCGTGGATGCGAATCTTGAAGTTGGAGGAGCGCTGCAAGAGAGCCTGCAGCGTGGCGAGAGCGGGGGAGGTCCTGATAGGGGGAACGGGAAGTGGGGGCGTGAGGAAGGGGGACAGGGGAAGGGTGGAGGCGGAATGGGGGATGGGGAAACAGGGTTCAAAAGCTGCAAATGACGTACCAGGGAGAGGAGGGTGTTCTTTTGAGGGGCCTCAAAGCTGCAAGTGACGTACCAGGGAGAGGAAGGTGTTCTTTTGAGGGGCCTCAAAGCTGCAAGTGACATACCAGGGAGAGGAAGGGAGGTGCACGGAAGGGTTCTGGAGGAGTAGGGAGAGGGCTGCACACACACTCCACTGCACCTGCGTATGGAGAGAGCCGAGGTGGGGGAGGGGGGGGAAGAGAGGTGGGAATAAGGGATGTAAAGAGACGGTTGCAGAGACGCGAGGAAAAGGGGGGGGGATGGAAGAGACATACATAGAGAGGGCTGCAAACACATTCCACTGCATCTGTGCATGATAAGAATAGCAAGAAAGTGGGAAAAAGAGAGGGTCAGGGCACGGTGGGAACTGGAATGCGAGAAGTGGAGAGGGATGGGAAGGGAGAATATGAACAGGAAAACACGGCGATGAGAGGATGAATAAGACCAATCAAACACACTCAGTCCACCTCCTCTTCTGCTCCCCTTTCCCACTCCCCACTTTCCACTTCGCACTCCCCACCCCCCACCCCACTCCCCACTCCCCACACCCCACACACTGTCACTGTCACATCCCACACACTCGCCTTGGGGTTGGTCTGCAAGGCGCATGACAGAATGGCTTCCACCACTCGCTCTTGCCACACCCCCGCCACTCCACCACCGCTCCCCCTCTCCTCCTGCAACTCCTTCCCTGCGATTGCCTCCTGTTTGTCGGCTTCCCTCCTCCTCCTATGCATGTCAACGCCCCCTGCTTCTGCATCTCCCTCTGCAGGAGCAGCCCCTGCTGCTGCTTCTTCTGATGCAAGCCTCACGATCTGAGTCAAGCCAGCATCAGCTGTGCTGCTGCCACAGCTATCTACGGGCCAGTGCTGCGTCTGCTCTTGCTCATCTCCCTCGTTACAGTCACTACTCTTTGACCTGCTGCCACCACATCTCCCGTCCACCTTACACGCCTCCGCTGCTTCGCCCCCCACTGCCAGCTGACTTTCACCGCAGCACCGGCAGTTACTCTGGAGGCGCCTCACCTGCCCTCCTCCTGCCTCAGCTTCCGCTGAGCAGCATTTCTGAGACGCCTCGAGAGACTCAGTGCATGTCGAGGGGCATGAGAGGCGTGTGGCAGTGGCAGTGTGACGACCACAACAGCGCTCTCTAGTAGGGCTTGCTGCGATGGTGTGGGGGCAGCAGCGGTGGCAGAAGCAGCAGCAGCAGCGGGCGAGCGCCCCCAACAGGCGAACGGCACTAGCTTTCACCTGAGAGAGAGGCGGGGGAGGGATGGAGGGATGGAAGAGAGATGGCGGTGAAATGGGGGAGAGACGGGGGAGCATGGGATGGAGGGGCAAGGGGTGGACAGCATCCACTGGCTGAAACGGATATTGCAAAGACCTATCAATAAGTGCCTTGTTGCTGTCGCTTGCTTATATGGTTACGATTGTCAAATTACGGTATTGCTGCCCTGCTTATCATGAAGTACCTAGTCCTTCTCGTCTCGGCTACTTATCATAACGTGCTGCATCTTTTTCGTTTGCTTACCATACATACAGTACCTTATCATTGTCGCCTGCTCCTTTCACAGCCGCGCTGGCGAGAGCTTCAACGTCGGATGCGCCCCACCAGGCGGCACTTGATTTCCCACCAATGTGCGCCAGGGTGCCCACCACGCTGCTAGAACATTCCCTGCTACAGTGATCAGTGCTACAGTGCATGCTGCTACACTGCATACTGCTGCAGTGCGTGCTGCTACAGTGCGTGCTGCTACAGTGCGTGCTGCTACAGTGCATGGGCGGTAGACGCTCTGAGATGTTGGCAAGAGACCACATTGCAGTAGAGCGGACCTGCGGTTGGGGGTAGTGGTGCGAAAGAGAGAAGAAGAGTTATGTTTTACGCATGGAAGGGGGATGGATGGAAGAAAGATGAAACAGATGGCAGCATTGCAAGGTAAAAAGGTTAAAAAATGGGGAGGATAAGAAGATGCCTAATAAAGGAACGGTAAGAAATAAAGATACCAATGAGAGAGTTTAAAGGACGACCCAAGACGAGAAGTTCATCGAAGTGGAATGAACACAGTGGTGCGATGCATTAGAAGAAAGATGTTGAACGAGTCGCATGGGGAGAGATGTTGAACGAGTCGCATGGGGAGAGATGTTGAACGAGTCGCATGGGGAGAGATGTTGAACGAGTCGCATGGGGAGAGATGTTGAACGAGTCGCATGGGGAGAGATGTTGAACGAGTCGCATGGGGAGAGATGTTGAACGAGTCGCATGGGGAGAGATGTTGAACGAGTCGCATGGGGAGAGATGTTGAACGAGTCGCATGGGGAGAGATGTTGAACGAGTCGCATGGGGAGAGATGTTGAACGAGTCGCATGGGGAGAGATGTTGAACGAGTCGCATGGGGAGAGATGTTGAACGAGTCGCATGGGGAGAGATGTTGAACGAGTCGCATGGGGAGAGATGTTGAACGAGTCGCATGGCACTCACAAGCACGGAAGAGGAGGAGCACGCTTGAAGCAGCAGCATGCGGCCGTGGGAGAAGAGGCTCAATGCAGGCGAGGAGGCCAAGTTGTGACCATTGTGAGCTGCCTCGAACGAGGAAGCTGACAATGACGATGGCTGGTGGTCTCTCGAAGTCCTTTACATTCAAAGATGCCCAAGAGGGAGAGACAGGCGGAGGGCAGGTGAGATAAGAGGTCTGTGTAGAATGAAGGAGTGAGGTGCTGAGGACTACTGCTGCAAATGGATGGACCGCATGACGTGGCAGCGCAAGTGGGAGGCACCACTAATAAGGCGTTGTTCACGTGCTTGCGGCCGCTCATTGCTTTATCCAGCACTCCGTTGCTTGCCGTTGTGCACTGAAACCAAGGCATGCGAAGCTCACTTGTTACCTGGTTACAAGTTACCAGTATGTGCACACCATACAATCCCGGTTCCGGCTCCCGCCATTGGGCAGCGTTCGCTGTGCGGGCAGCAATCACTGTGCGGGCAGCAATCACTGTGCGGGCAGCAATTAATGTGCGGGCAGCAATTACTGTGCGGGCAGCAATTACTGTGCGGGCATAATCCAACTCACTGTGCGGGCATGAGGTGCGGCACTATGATTCCAAAGACCTTCATCAGTGCTGCTTGCACTGCTGGCACCGACTCTCCTGCTGCCAGGGCGAACTGGACGACGAAAAGGAAGGCAAGGGTAAGAGGAAGACAATGAATGGTGATGACAAAGTGAGATGCCATTTAGCTTCGTTGCGCGTCTGATCTAAGAATTGTGGTGAAGAAACGAGAAATCCCTCCCAGTACAACCGAGAGGGTTGGGAGGCAGCAAAAGTCTGCTGACTAGGCAAGGCTGTACTGGCGACCTATGGGTTAGAGAGGTGGACACGTGGAAGCATACCATTGGCTGGAAGATGACATCATGCATGTGGGAGAGGTACTGCAGGGTGGGCGCTGGCATGTGCAGGAAGCATGTGAGCGCTGCCATGCGGGTCTGGCAGGAGGGACAGAGAGGGCGAGGGAAGGGATGGATGGAGAGGCAGGCTGGTTGGAAAAACAACTTTGAGCTGGCAGTACCATTCTGTGCCATGCTGCACTACTTATCGCCATACCATGTCATGCCCTTTATTACCATAAGATACCCGTTATTGCCATAAGATACCCTTTATTGCCATGACATACCCTTTATTGCCAGAACATACCCTTTATTGCCAGAACATAACCTTTATTGCCATAACATACACTTTATTGCCAGAACATACCCTTTATTGCCAGAACATACCCTTTATTGCCATAACATACACTTTATTGCCAGAACAAACCCTTTATTGCCAGAACATACCCTTTATTGCCATAGCATACCAGCCTTGAGAAGGGGCGGCGCCTACTTAGTTGGTGCCTATGAGGTGGGCAGTACCCACCTGAGTACCATACTCACCACTCTTCAATACCATACTACCGCTTATTACCACACTGTACCATATCATCCCTCTCAAACCGCATGCACTGTACCGGGAAAGGAAGGTGTCGAAGGAGGGGTGCCTATCAGGTGGCCAGCGCCAACCTGATTACTATACCCCACCACTCTTAATCACCACAACATACTGGATGACCCCTTACTACCGCACTGTACCGCGGGAGAGGGGTGTCGAAGGAGGGGCGGCAGCAGCCCAAGGCGGAGTACTTCAGCCCACTGTGAGGCGCCAGGAGGAGGGACACGTGGCAGTAGTTGACTGGATGAAGATAGCCCACTACTGATCGCAGCAGAGGCAGTAGGTACAGCAAGCAAAGCTGCAGAGGCGCAGGCTGTAGCGCAGGGTGATGTGGCAGGGTTGTAGGCTGTGGGTGCATCTGTAGCAGGAAGGCAGGCTGTAGCAGAACCTGCTAAGTCAGGGGCACAGACTGTTGCAGCTGTAGCACTCGTGGCAGCTGTGGCGGCTGTAGCAGCGGCACGCACTGTGTTAGCACAGGCAGGTGGGGAGACAAGGGCCAACTCCGGCTGTTGTTGCTGGTGGTGGTGGTGGTGATGCTGCTGCTGCTGGGGGCAGGCACAGCAAGGCTGGCAGCAAGAGCAAGAGCAAGCAGGCAACAGTCTCGTGCGAGTGTTCCAAGTAACCTTCAGCTGCCGCCTCATGCCCTCGCCCTCTTCCTCCCCCTCTCCTCCTCCTCCACCTCCTAGCTCCACCTCGTGCTGATGCCCGACATGCCCTGCACTGCCTGCCGCTGCAGCTGCTGCTGCTCCTCGTGTGCCCGCCAGAGCAATGAGTTCTTGATTCATCAACTGTGGTGGCACAATGGTAGCGGGGAGAGGAAGCAGAGAAGGGGCTTTTAGGGGACGATGAGACGTGACTCGACCTCATGATGCTGCCCTGTTGCCTGCCAGAGCGATGAGCAGATGGTCCAGAAGCTGTGGTGGCGCAAGGGTGGTGAGGAAGGGAAGGGGAAACAGCAGCAGATCAATTCAATTGTGAAGAGAGAGGAGGGACAGAAAGGCAAGAGAACTGAAGCAAGTGCCCTCTGCGCTGTGCCTACCTCGGGGAGGCGTTGAAGCTGTTTCATTCTTACCGACAGCGGTGGTCGATCGCACTGCAGAGGGGCCAAGCAAATGCCCTCTGCGCCAAGACCATGGCGGCCTTTGAGGCCGAGGCACCCACATCTGCCTACGAGGACGAGCCTCTCGACACGGGCGACCTTCTGCACGTCCTCGAGCCGGACTTTGAGCTGCCTTAGGCAGCCCCGTTGCATGCCTGTGCCTGATTCTATAAACTAGCTCGTTGTGTTGCATGTTATCACAACGAAGGACCATACGAACTGAAGGAGAGACTGTGCGGCAAGAACAGGGCTGTGAGTGAGAAGCGCACCTTGAGTGCTGCAGTTAGGAGGCGGTCAGTGAGAGCGGATTCAGCTTGCAGCGAGCAGCTGCTGTCAGGGTGTGCACTAGCAGGCTGATCTGGCACAGCGGTGTGTGTCGCTGAGCTGGCAGTGTCAGGCTTGGCAGGAGGGTTGAGTGTGGCAGTGATGAGGGCAAGGAGGTCGGGCCAGAGCGATTCGGCAGCAGATGCAGGGAACGTGGACACCCATGCTGCTAGCGCCTGGAGATATGGGGGAAATGGGAGGAACAGCACCCACGAGGAGGGGGGGTGAAGGGAGGAGGGAGGGAGTGTGGCGGGTGAAAACTGTCGTGATCGAGAGGCTTGGAGGGAGATGCACGGAGTGTGGGCACTGATGCAGGTACGGCTTGGTGTAGAGAGGGTATTTTTGAGACGTCTCAAAAATACCCTCTCTACACGTAGATGCACGGAGTGTGGACACTGAGGCCGGTACGGCTTGGCGGGAAGTATATGAGGGAACCGAGGAAGGTGAGCAGGGAAGGAAAGAAATCAGGCAACAGGAGGATTTCTGATCAGTTATTGTCATAAGGAGCGTAAGGGTCGTAAGATTTGTGATCGAAACAACAATATGTAAACAGAGTGCAAATTTTAGCCCAATAACATTTACTTGCAGCCTCAAAAGGGCGACAGCTGACTAAATATTGAACTTATGTACCCTACCCAGGGGGATGCACGCGGGTGGGCGGGACTATCAACCAGCGTACAGGGTGCGTACCTGAAGGGCTTCGACGCGCACAGCAGTGGGAATGCAGGGCTGCACCCACGAGAGCAGGCAGGTGAATGTGATGGTTGATGGTGTGGTGCTAGTAGCTGTGGTGGCTGGTTGTGGGGGAGGGAGTGTGGAGCGCAAGAGGACGTGGCCCAGGAAGGCTGTTGCTGCTGCTGCTGTGGCTGCCTGCTCGCACACGCACACACCCAAGCACACATATGCACACATACACAGATACACACACAGGCACGCTCGCACGCATGCAAGCACGCACCAACACAAACACACACATGCACAGAGACACACATACATTTGCACGACCCAAGACACGTGGCATGGGAGTCACCATCCACCTAGGTGGCACATGCATGAAACTCAGAGAAAAAAATAGGCGCCTCAAAAAACGATCCAAGACACGTGGCATGTGACACGTGGCATGTGACACGTGGCACAGGAGTCACCGACCACCATCCACGAGGACGGGAGGAGGGTGGACGAAGGGAGGTTGCACATGAATGAAACACAGAGTAGCTAGCTAGGAACCGGGCCAGGGGGAAGCGGATAAGAGGTCTTATCATGTGTGCGTGCTTACAGAAGCAGTGGAGATGCCATCCTCGCTATAAGACATGCTGGTGGACCAGGAGGAGGAGGAAAGAGGGCCTGGCGAGAGGAGAGTGGAGATCCGCGTGACTAGAGCAGAGGGCAGGATGTGACTCAAACGAGGGGCGGAGCGAAGACGATGGTACCTTCAGTGGTTCAGCAGGAGGGCGAAGGGGGAGGGAGGGACAGGGGAGGGTTGGAAAGGGGGGGTTATCAAATGGGATAGATTGTAAAGGGGAGGATGATACCCCCCCTTACTCCCCTTTTCAAAGTAAAGTTACAATGAAGCGTGCTGATGTCTTGAAACTCCACTGTACTTTTGAGAATTCTCAACGTGCTTTCGTATCTTCAACGACTCTCCGCTAAGGATTTCTTTATTCAGATGACTTTTGAGTCGGCAGAAATTTTTCTCTTCTCTTCGTGTGAAGGGGCTGGTGATGCCACCTCACACCACACATGCCAAACTCTTCTCTTGTGCAATGACGATAATTTGAGAACACGAAAAGAGATGGGAGCACGCACTGTTTCACATCCCGGCTGAATCATAGAGGGACAGGCGACAAAACATAATATATATATATATACGTATACATATAAACAAATAAAGATATACATACATGTATTACCAAGAATGAACAGAAGGAGGTATTCTAAGTTGCTAAACCAGCACAATAACCAGCAAGGCCACAGAGGCGCATCTTACGGTGTGCATTGCGCCAGCAGCGACGCCAGCTTGCAGGCGAGGGATAGCGTCCACGGGTCCTGCTCCTGCTGTAGCACTGCTGCCACGGCTGCACGCAGGGGGGGGAGGGAAGGGGGTTGCACACACACGCACATGAGTGAACACATGTGGATCGTGTACCTGTGACGGGCGAGCGACAGGGTCCACGGGTCCTGCTCCTGCTGTAGAACTGCTGCCACGGCTGCACGCGGGGCGGGACAGATGGGGATGGGGGTTGATTGGTGCACGGACAGGAGCACACGTGTTACGGTGAGCATTGCAAGGGAAGCGACAGGGCCCAGCCCACGGATCGTGCTCCTGCTGTGGCACTGTTGCCATGGCTGCACGCAGGGGGTAGGGTTGCACACGCACATGGGAGGACACATGTGGGGGGACCGGGAATTGATGAGAATCACACGTGCCCAAAAACAAGTGCCCCATACACATGTGCCCCATACACGTGTGCCCCATAAACACGTGCCCCCACACACATCTGCCCATACACCCACCATTGTGCATTTCCACAATACTGTCAGCAAGGATTTCTGAAAGAGAAATGAATGATGCTCGACTGTTGCTGCTGCTGCTGATGCTGCTACTGATGCTGCTGCTTGGAGCACCAGCACCACCACCAACACCATCATCATCCCCAGCAGGACCAGCCGCACCATCCCCCCCACATGCTGTTCCCCCAGCACCACTCTCCACCCCTCCTGACCCTCGCGCTGGTGCTCTCTTGCCTGGGGTGCGAGGCCCTCCAGCAGCAGCAGAGGCAGCAGCAGGGGTGGGCGCGGAGGCAGCAGTGCGATGCAGGAAGGTGAGAGTGAGAGGCGAGTCGAGGAGTGAGGCGAGGGCCTGTGCTGCTGCCACTCGCACCTGCGAGAGAGAGAGGAGGGGGGGTATGGGAGGGGAGAGAGACGAAGGTGGAGAGGGTGCGGGAGAGAGGCGGGGAGGAAGGAAAGAGGCGTCTCTGCCGCCCCACCAGTAGAGGCATCAGCAGAGCAGCAACAGAGGCAGCAGCAGCAGGGGTGGGCGCTTAGGCAGCAGTGCGATGCAGGAAGGTGAGAGTGAGAGGCGAATCGAGGAGGGAGGCAAGGGCCTGTGCTGCTGCCACCCGCACCTGAGCGGGGGGGGGGGAGGGGAGTGGGAGGAGAGAGGAGTGTGGGTGAGGAGCAGTCGGAAGAGCAATATTCATTGCCACATGAACGCACAAAGGTGAGGAAGAGGGTGTGCAAGAGTTGGCGTGGCAGAGAAGAGAGTGAGGTTTGGGGGGGTGTGGGAGGGCGTTGAGGTGGGAATGGAGGAAAGCACAAGTGATGGCATCACACAAGCACAAGTGATGGCATCACACAAGCACAAGTGATGGCATCACACAAGCACGTGTCGGCTTTCAAAGCACCTTGACAGAAGACAGAGCTTCTGTGCTGAGACCCTTCCCTGGCGTCGATTGAAGCCTTGTAAGCTACTGCTAAGTGAGAAAAGGTTTTCATATGTTATAGTACGGTACACTGGAGGTTGGTTTGTAAAAACGTTAGCTGCCTCTCTCGTCACCTTGGGGGATGGGTCGGCGAGCAGAGGCGCAAGCAGGGATGCGGAGGAGGACCTGTGAGGGAAGGCAGTGGAAGGCTGGATGTTAAGACTGTGAGGGAAGGCTGGAACACACGGAGATTGCATGGGCGCGGCGAGAGAAGCATGGGCACGTGCAGTCTGGGAATATGAAGGAGTTTTGGAGGGGGCGGGCATTTATGAATGTGGGGGCAATCTGTCACATGGGGCTTCAAGATTGACACGTGCTTGCAAGACACACCTGGGGGCAGCAGAGGAGGAGTGTGGGAAGAGCACAGCCCACTGCGCATGCATCGCCCTGGGACACACGGCAGCCATGCTCTGATGGGTGCGCGGGATGAAAAGTAGGTGCACGGGAATATGGTACAGGGGAAGAGACAGGAGGGAGGGGGGGGGAGAGCAGTTAGGGGAAAGGGCAGCGGCGGAGGAGTGTGAGAAGAGCACAGCACAGTGTGCGTGCAGCTCCCTGCTCCCTGGGACACACGGACACCCGCCATGCTTTGGTGGGTGCAAGGGAATAGACGGGAAGGGGGGGATAGGGTAGCAGAGGAGGGAGAAAGTAGCATATGAGGTAGGTAGGTACCCACCTTGATGCAAGTGAGTGAAGCTATTCTCAGCTTTCTTGCCTCCACGCTACCACCTCCCCTCCTCCCATCGCCTCCCCGCCCACCCCAACTACCTCCTCCCCCTCCTCCTCTCCGTTCTCCACCCCATCCCTCCTCCTCCTCACTCTGTTCTGACCCAGAGCCCCTCGTATCACTGATTTCCGAGGGGAAATAACCCCAGCTGCTTCGCTCAGTCGCCCGGCTGCCCGGAAAAAGTCCATGCAGGTGCGAGGAACGGGGGCCATGGGTGGAAGCAGCATCTGCTGCGAGTTTTAACCCTGCTAATAGTGCTGATGGTGCTGCAAGTGCACCCACCCCTCCATCTGCTGCTGCTGCTGCTGCTGATTGTGCTGCTGCTGGTTGCAGGATGGGAGGCAGGGAGGACAAGGAGGGGGAGAGAGCCAGCTGAGGGGCTCGAGCATTGCGGGAGCGCAGGTGGGGGGGCTTGTAGGGGGAGGCAGCGGGGGAGGAGGCGGCTGAGGAGGCGGCTGAGGTGGGCCGAGAAGGGTGAGCGGAGGAAGGCAAGGATGAGGCGGAGGCGGAGGGGTGGAGCAGACGCGCTTGCTGGTGGAGGTGGACGAAGACGTGTTGGTGGAGGCCTGCTGAGAGGAGGGACGTGAGGATGGGCAGTAGGGCGGACGCCTGGGGCACGCACAGCACAGGTGGGTGGGACACCCGGAGTGGGAGGATGGGAAGATGCTGATTGAAGGAGGGAAAGAGAAACAAGTTTCTGGATATAGGAGGGACAAATTCAAGTTCATAAGGCTGCAGAGTAGCGGTCTCATAGAGAGCGCACTTTTTGAGTTTATCATCTGTGGTCCATAGCAAGACAGCGCTGCACCTGCAAAGAACCAGGCAGGCTGTACTCGCTATAGATCTGGGCTGAGCTGGTTGTGGGGATGCGCACTCGCACCTGGGCTTGGCAGAAGGCGGTGGCGAGTGAGGGGGGCGCGAGGGACAGCAGGTGCAGCAGCAAGGATAGCAGTGGACGCATGGCGCTGGGGGGAGCAGGGGACGGATGAGGGATGGGAGGAAGGATCAAGGGGACATGAAGGGGAGATGGAGTGATGAGGGATAGAGAGGAGTGAGCACAAGGCAAGGTTCACGAGGAGGGATATGTGATGGTGCACTTCTCAATCATGACACGATCAGTTGGTATGTACACGTGGCATGCATGACATGACATGACATGCATGCGAATGACTCCGTGGCTCAGGCAGGAAGCAGTGTGCTGTGCTGTGCATTACGCACTGTGAATGGCTGTCAGTGTACATGACACGCTGATTCCTGCTTTCACTTTGCACTTTGAGAGCAACGTCATTCACAAGCCACTTATTGAGTGGCTCAGTGTCGTGTCTTGTCATGTCATGTCATAAACATGCCACCTCATGACATGTCCTCTCATGGCATGGCATGTCACCATATAGTGCCACGCACACCCTACCTGCTCATCCGCACGACAGAATCGATGCTAGTCGGCAGTTGATGCAGGCTAGCCGCCCACCGACGGCTCTGATGCGACGCCAGCAGCGCATGGACAGCTGAGATGCTCCGACTGACGGCCTGAGCGCAGTCAGGGAACAGAGAAGAGGATTGAAGAGTGAAGGGATTGACGCACGAGGTACGCCTTTTGAAACGTTTAAAAATTGAGTTTGAACGTGTCAGCACGGCAGCTTCAAGTTGATTCTTCACTCGTGTCAGAGGTGGTGGCGGCTGAGTCAACGCCTGCGTGTGACACAGGCGAGCGAGCAAGGCACTTGACAGCATTTGCACAGAGGCTTGGGGCTCTGATGTGATTGCAGGCTTTTTGAGGCGCCTCAGAAAAACGTCGCTTCTCGCGGCTTGGATGCAAATGCAGGAGGAACCATGCAAGACCATTGTAGCACGAATCAACCTTTATCCGTCCCTACCAATGCTTCAACCCGAAGGTGCGAACACAGACTGTCTCATAACTCCTAGCCCCCTCCCCTCCCCACATTGACCACTCATTCGCTCTCCCCACCCATGCACCTCTAGTGTTAAGGCGATGACGTCAGCAGGAATATCAGGAATTGGTTTCTTCCCAGCCTCGTTCTTCCCCTTTTCCCCTCCCGCCCCTCCCGCCACTCCCGCGCCTCCTGCACCAACGTCCAGCCCTTCCCCTCGCTTTGAGTTTCCCTTTCCACCCCTTCCCCCTCCCCTGTTACCCTTACGCCTGCCTGGCTCCTCCCGCTCCGCCTCCCCCCTCCCCGCGTCCCCCCTCCCCGCGAGCATCCGCCCCGCGGCTTCCGCCTCCGCCACCACCGCGTCAACCGCAGCCACCAGACCTGCAAGAGCAGCCTTTTCAGCGTCGTCCGCACGCTGCTCGCTATTAATAGCATCAGCATCCCCGTTAATAGAGTTGTCGCGGCAATCCCTAGGCGCTTCTGCAGCAGAATCTGTACTCTTTGACGAGGAAACGGCGGAGGCTTCACGGAGCAGGGCGTGAGAAGATTCGGCGAATCTGCGAAGCCGAACCAGCAGCGGGTCGTCATCCATCGTTGCAGAATAACTTATCTGCCTCGACGCTCACGAATCGAACGAATCGACACCGGAAGCAACTTTCGGCTCGACCGACGATCGCCGATTCTGCGAATGCCGCTAGTTTTGAAGAGAACGATTAACGGGTTAGTCCATATGCTCCAGTCTCACGTGCCGATCCGTATCGCAACTGAACACATCCGTCAGGCAAGCGCGGATGGAAGTTGCTTTCCGAATGCGGATAGTATACGGGACAAGGCCTTGGATGCTCGTCCCAGGGTAGCTTGGCTGCTGTCAGGCTTTCCTGCCTTTTTTTAAAACCCAGGGTCCACAGGTTCGTGGGGCGGATCGCCTCGGGGATTTCAATACTCGCTATTGGAGTGTCGTCGTATCGTTGTCACCGTTCTAAGAACGCATAACTGCTCATCTTACAATTAAGTTTCAAAGATTTTGTTTTAAATTAAGACGCACGTGAACAGGAATAAGTTTCTGGCTGTAAGAAACAAGAAAGTTTTTATGTATATTTAAATAGGTTTTCCTTTTAGGCTTTTATGTGAACCTAGGAGATAACCTGTAAATCTCAACCCTAAGAAAAGGCATATATCATGCGATTTTTTCAATCATAGATATTGTATACTCCGTGAGAATTTCCACGAAGAAATCCAGATTACCTCATATCGCGCACACGCTGGATCATCACACCAACCACCAGCAGCACCTATTTCTGCAGTAGTCATCAATCCCAAGGCTCATTCTCCAACAATAATAAATTCACATCCTTGTATCAGGGAGGAGCTTTCTTTAGGGATCAAGATTGCGTGGTAACCATTTTTTGGTAGGTAATATCGGCAGTTTCGGACCCAAATCGTAAAATTCTGGTAATTCGCGATCCGTCAGACGGAGAATGATGGGCAGGGGTCGACTAGCTGCTTCGCCTTGTTATCTCCTTTTCCTATGGGCTCTTCTCACCGCATTTTGCGGAGCTTCCGCGGTTCGGTTCACGCTAGACCAATTCGAGTGCCTGACCTATTACGTGCATTACGTCGGCGACGAAGTGCATGGTAACTTCGTCGTCGTCAGTTCGCAAACGTGGGGCGAATGGGAGTCCCTGGGCGTCGACATTGTTGTAAGCACAGCACAATAACCCCCTCCCGTGCTCCCGTTTGAATCACATTGTCACATTCCACAGCTCCTTCAACAATCACCCCGGTGCCTTACCATTATCCTAATCTGTCAAAAAGGCTCCTTCGCTAGAAACATTCAACCGATTCTATCATTCTCATCTTCCCCAGACTCTTCTTGTTAAGACTCGCCCAAGATTCCCTCTCGCTCTCATCTCAGTGCAGTCTCTCAAATACAAACCCTCATCTTTCCCATCGTCACCCTTCGATCCCTCTCTCCCCCCCTTTTCTCAACCTCCAATCGGGACAGCGCAGGCCGGTCACTGAAGGCATATTCCAAAGGGGAGGGGACGTTCGAGGTCGATTTGCTGCGAGTTTTCAGGCGCCTCAAGTCCCAGAGCGGGAATGCGAGTTTAGAACGATTCGATATCAACACCCCCTACACTACACCCCCACTCTTTCACCGTTGTGCATGCGGCTGGGAGAGAGAAGGAGGCATGTGAAAAAAGAAGAGTTTTGAGACGTCTCAAAACGATTCGATATCAACACCCCCACTCTTTCACCGTTGTGCATGCGGCTGGGAGAGAGAAGGAGGCACGTGAAAAAATAAGAGTTTTGAGACGTCTCAAAACGATTCGATATCAACACCCCCACTCTTTCACCGTTGTGCATGCGGCTGGGAGAGAGGGAGGGAAGCGAGGGCGACTCTCGAATGTGCGTGCCTCACCCATCCCTCTTCTATTCCCCTCCCCTCAGCCGTCAAACAGGTGAACGACCCTGACGGGTACCACGTGCACTCGTCACAGGGGCAGAAGGAGGGAGTATTCGAGTTTGAGTCGATGCGCTTTCTTTCAGTAGCCCCCTTCCCTCTCTCCTGCCCCCTTCCTTCCCATCTTTGGCTGTTCAGGTGGAGGACCCGGACGGGTACCACGTGCACTCGTCACAGGGGCAGACGGATGGCGTAATCAATTTTGAGTCGATGCAATCTCAGTAGTCCCTCGCCCCGCTCCACCCCTTTTCCTATCTTTGCCCAACGTCTCGACCGCACAGGTGGAGGACCCCGACGGGTACCACGTGCACTCGTCACAGGGGCAGACGGATGGCGTGTTTTCATTTGAGTCGATGCGGGAGGGCGACTACAAGGTGTGCTTCACCAACAAGTCGCCCATCAATGAGGAGATTGTGTTTGAGCTGCACGTGGGCCACCACTTCAGCGAAAAGGAACTTGCCAAGGAAGGTGTGCTGTGCGGTGGTGTGCGGTGCAGTGCGGTGGGGTGGGGTACTGTGCTGTGCTGTGCGGTTCTGTGTGTGCTGTTGTGTGAGGGGGCGACTACAAGGTGTGCTTCACGAACAAGTCGCCCATCAACGAGTAGATTGTGTTTGAGCTGCACGTGGGCCACCACTTCAGCGAGAAGGAACTCGCCAAGGAAGGTGTGCTGTGCGGTGCTGTGCGGTGGAGTGCGGTGGTGTGTGGTACTGTGTGGTGCTGGGGTGTATTGTGCGGTGCTGTGCGGTTCTGTGTGTGGTGCTGTGTGAGGGCGACTACAAGGTGTGCTTCACCAACAAGTCGCCCATCAACGAGGAGATTGTGTTTGAGCTGCACATGGGCCACCACTTCAGCGAAAAGGAACTCGCCAAGGAAGGTGTGCTGTGGGGAGTGCTGTGCGGTGGAGCGGTGCTGTTCTGTGCTGCGCGGTGCGGTTGTGTATGGCGCTATGCCGTGTCGCCCCCCTCCTTCTCTCCCTCCGTGTTGTTCCGTGCTCCCCTGCCCCGTGACTCGTCCTGCCTGCTATCATCCCGCCCATTTCCTCGCCTCTCACCCTCCAGAGCACGTGGAGCAGACGAGGGACAAGGCGAAGAACCTGTACGAGCGGGTGATGGTGCTGTCCATGCAAGCCAAGTTCCGCCACTCGCAGGCTCAGAGGCTCAACGAGTGTGAGTGAGGGAGGAGGGGTGAGAGGAGGTGAAGGAATGTGAGTGAGGGAGGAGGGGTGAGAGGAGGTGAAGGACTGTGAGTGAGGGGGAGAGAGGAGGGAGCCTGTACGAGCGAGTGATGGTGCTGTCCATGCAAGCCAAGGTCCGCCACTCGCAGGCCCAGAGGCTCAACGAGTGTGAGTGAGGGAGGAGGTGTGAGAGGGTGAAGGAATGTGAGGGGGGAGGAGATGAGGGAACCTGTATGAGCGAGTGATGGTGCTGTCCATGCATGCCAAGTTCCGCCACTCTCAGGCCCAGAGGCTCAACGAATGTGAGTGAGGGAGGGTTGAGTGAAGGGAGGAGGACGGAGTGGGGAGAAGTTGAATGTGAGGGAGAGGGGCGGAGAGGGGAAAGGTTGAAGAAATGTGAGTGCGAGGGGCGGAGATAAGAGCAACGATGAATGGTGAAGCAGATGGAGAGGCAGCATGAAAGTCGTCCTTCGTAAGCCCGTTTCACACGCGTCACTGTTGAGCAGACGTGCAAGTCAACACGGCACACATGCATCACCATCTCGCTCCCCTCCCTCCCTCCCTTCTATTTTCCTTTTTCTTCCATGTCTTCTATCCCCTTCTTCCTTCCCCATGTCCCCCCGCCACCCACATCCCACCTCCACCTCTCCCATCGCGTTTTACCCCTCTCCTCCCTCCCAACTCCTCCAAATCCTCTGCTTGCCAGGCCACTCATATGGTGAGGAGAGCTGTGCGCCCTTGGAGGCCTGTATTCATATTCATTCCCGCATGCCGCATGCATCCCCTCTCCACGCGCCCCACTTTTCCCAGATCTCCCCATTCGTTCCAACATCCCCCCCCCGTCACTCCCTCCCACACCTCCCCTTGCACCCGCCCTCCTTTTCCCCACCTCCTCCCCCTCGCGCCCTGCCCCTTCCCCCGTCTCCCAATTGTCGCGCCCTGCCCCTTCCCCCATCTCCCAATTGTCGCGCCCTGCCCTTCCCCCGTCTCCCCCTCCCTGCACCCTGCCCTTTACCCCACCTCCCTGCCTCTGCGCTCCTGGCCCTTCACCCAACTGCAGTGGCCAAGTCCACACCACAACAGGGACGCTTATCCTCAAGACTCCCCGCTTCCTCATGCACCCACTCAACCTTTCCTCCACCTCCCCCCCTCCTCTCTCCCTCCTCTCCACCTCATTCCCCCATTCCCAGTGGCCACCACAGGAAGGCGTATCTTCCCACACCATTGCTCCCCCTTCCTCTCTCCCTTCCTACCTTCCTTCCCATTCCCCTACCCTGTCCCCATCCCCCCTGCCATCTCCCCCCACCGGTTTCCATTCCCAGTGGCCAACAAGACCACCACAGCAAGCAAGGCTCATCTTCAAGACGCCCTCCCTCCTCATGTGCCCCACCTTTCCCCCACCTCCCCCTGTACCTCTCGCCTTCCCCTCCACCCCGTTCCACCCGCCCTGTTTCCATGCCCAGTGGCCAAGACCACCACAGCACGGCTCATCGTCCCACACCACTGCTCCCCCTTCATCTCCCCCTCCCTACCCTCGTCCCCATTCCCCTGCCCTGCCCCCATCCCCTCAACCCCATTCCCCCCACCTGTTTCCATGCCCAGTGGCCAAGACCACCACAGCGAGGCTAATCTTTAAGACGGCCATCCAATCAGGCGCGCTCATTCTTTGCAGCTCAATCCAGGTGATGCTACAGTGTTAGTCAGGTGATGCTACAGTGCTAGTCAGGTGATGCTACAGCGCTAGTCAGGTGATGCTACAGTGCTAGGCAGTGGTGCTACAGTGCTAATCAGTGATGCTACCGTGCTAATCAGGTTATGCTACAGTGCCAATCAGGTGATGCTACAGCGCTAATCAGGTGCTGCAACAGTGCTAGTCAGGTGATTCTACAGTGCTAATCAGGTGATGCTACAGTGCTAATCAGGTTATGCTACAGTGCTAATCAGGTGATGCTACAGCGCTAATCAGGTGCTGCTACAGTGCTAGTCAGGTGATTTTACAGTGCTAATCAGGTGATGCTACAGTGCCTTCAACAAGTCTGCTTTGCAGAAATCATCCGTGCTGCTCTTCCACCTCTTCCTCTCCCCGCACTATGGTGGTCATGTTACAGTGTTTGTTACCAAGTAAAGGAGACAGGTTGCCTTGGCTTCTTGCAGTATGTTCACTCGGCAGTTTTCTCCACTCCCCCCATCCCTTTCCTCTCCCTCCGTCTCTGCAGGTGTATCTGCTGCACCGCCTCTTCGAACGCAAGCTGGGAAGGTCATTCGTCTGACTGCGCTGCTGGGCTGCAACACTCACTACAACACCCATGATTGTGAACAGCACAAGGGAGACAAACCCACTCACCTGGTAAATTTATTTATCCTCTCAACACTTGATAACTGTTGGGAGAAATGGGTATCACATACCCTTGAGCTGACAGCTTATTGACAAGTGTTACGGGTATGTACGGTACAGTACTTGGGATTCCAGACACAACAGCAGCAGAGCTAGAGCTGTCAGCTTCGTCTCCAAAAAGCAGTATTGACGTATAACATGTTCACTTACAAAATTTGAAAAGAATGAATAACATCCAGTAAGACTGAGCATATTGCATCACAATGACCACCATAGGTGCAGCCAAAACATATTGACAGCAGCTTTCCAGGGCTCCATATACACCGCCAAACCAAACGCACTAAACCTGCAAACTGAAATGCTGAAAAGACAAAGGTGCTTGCATATGACCCATGTCAGTCAGGCTTCCTCTTGGATCTCGAGAGGCGGCAGCTGCAAGTCCTCCGCTGCTCCTTCATATGCATCCATGCCCTCCTCGTTGAATAGAACGAAATGTACCTGCTCGCATGGGCACGAGCACACGCACGCACATGCACACACACAAGGGCACAACGATGAGAGGGGGGTGGCCTTCGTACGCATCCTTGGCCTCCTCGTTGAAGAGAACGAAATGTACCTGCACACATGGGCACGACCACACGCATAGACATGCACACACACACAGGCACAACGATGAGAGAGGGGTGGCCTTCATATGCATCCTTGGCCTCCTCGTTATAGAGAATGAAATGCACTTGCTTGCATGCCCAGATGCATGCACGCACGCGCACGCATGTGCGAACACATACGGTACATGCATGCGCACCAGTGCACGCAAAACGCACAAACAGCCACGCTTACACACACGCACACGCGCGGCCACGCACACATAGACACACGGACGCACGCACATGTGCCCCCGTGCGCACACACACAGGCATCCACTCGAAACACACACGTACACATGCGAGTCAACGCAAGGAAATGGAGGCCAACAAGCCCCTTCGAACATCTCATGAAAGATAAAAGGCAACAATGAGAGGTATGGTGAGAGGCACGGTGAGAGGCACAGTGAGAGTCGTGGTGAGAGGCAAGGTGAGAGGCACGGCGAGAGGCACGGTGAGAGGCACGGTGAGAGGCACGGTGAGAGGCACGGTGAGAGGCACGGTGAGAGGCACGGTGAGAGGCACGGTGAGAGGCGGACTGACCTCTGAAAAGCCGGTACAGGTTGCTTGAAGCGCCTTGAGTGACACCTGGGCAGCGTCGGGAAACGGGTACCTGCAGAGACATGCAGCATGCGATGAGAGGCACGCAGCATAAGAGGCACGCAGCATAAGAGGCACGCAGCATAAGAGGCACAGGGGGGGACACACACAGCACACGGCACAAAGGGCGTGCAGAGGAAACCACCAGGTTACATGAGAGTTGAAAGGATTCCAGTGGCAGGGTCACGGAATCTCGTACACCCACATGAACAGCATGAATAACATGAACAGTGCCTGAGTAAACAGCAAGAACGGTTGAAAACGATGCTTACTTGCTTAAGAGTTAACGCTGACTCAGACTCACACGACGCTGACTCACCCATAGATGCCACACGAAACTGCCGGGAAGGCGATGAACTTGACATGCGCCTTGCGAGCCTCCTCCATGGAACGGCTGGGAGAGGAGAGAGGGGGGAGGTGGGGGTTAGAAGCCGACAGTAGATGGCAGGCAAGGGACAGGTGGGATGGCGGCCTGGCCTAGCGGGACAGGTGGGATGGCGGCCTGGCCTAGCGGGACAGGTGGGATGGCGGCCTGGCCTAGCGGGCCAGGTGGGATGGCGGCCTGGCCTAGCGGGACAGGTGGGATGGCGGCCTGGCCTAGCGGGCCAGGTGGGATGGCGGCCTGGCCTAGCAGGCCAGGTGGGATGGCGGCCTGGCCTAGCGGGCCTCCTCCATGGAACGGCTGGGAGAGGAGAGGGGGGGGGAGGTGGGGAAAGGGGACGGGGAGAGGGGAAAGAGGGGAATGGGGGTTGGGGCATGGCCTAGCGGGCCTCCTCCATAGAGCGGATGGGGTGACGAGGAGGAAGGGGTGAGGTGGAGTGGAGGATGGGGTGACCTGGTAGATGGGGTGACGTGGAGGATGGGGTGACGTGGAGGATGGGGTGACGTGGAGGATGGGATGGGGTAACGTGGAGGATAGGATGGATTGACGTGGAGAATGGGATGGGGTGATGTGGAGGATGGGGTGACGTGGCAGGCAGTGGCGTGGTTGACTGAACCCTGACCAGCAAAGTTGACTGTGTCGACTTGACCATCGTTTTGCAAAGAAAACGTACGTTGACTGAAATTGAGCAGCATTGACCAGCATTGACAAGTGAGGTTGCCTTGAAATCGAAGAGACCAACACTCACACATAGGCGGAGTGCAGCAGCGGTGCAGAGCGCTGTGGCGAGGTGTAGATGGGCCCCACCGTGTGAACCACGTGCTTCACTGGCAGCTCGGCCGCCCTGGTGGAAAGACGGGGGTAGCGAGTGCGAGAAAGGGATGCGAAGAGGGGGAGAGAGGAGAGGACGGGGGTGGGAAGGTTGGGATGCAGAGCGGACGTGTAGATGGGTGAGTCCCGCCGTGTGAATCACATGCTTCACTGGTAACTCGGCCGCTCTGGTGGAGCGGGGGAGAGGAAAGGGGAGAGGGGGGGAAAGATATTGAAAAGTGGGAGAGTGGAGGGATGAGGGACAGAAACTATGGGGCCCACCGTGTGAATGACATGCTTCACCCTTATCCCATACACTCACGCTCACCCTGTACACTCACAACCCCCCACTCACACCCCCCCCACTCACACCGTCATGCCCCCCCACTCACACCCCATACAGTCACACTCACCCCGTGCATACAGCCTACCCTGTGGGGCAGCCGACACCTCTGCTCACTGCCCCTTAGAATCACTCTTACACGTCACAATCACTTCAGAAACCACACTCACCCCGTGCACACAGCCTGCCCTGTGGGGCAACGCACTCCTCTGCTCACTTCCGGCACCGCCTTGCACTCCCTCACCAAGCCCGGCCCCGCTGCCCTGTGGATGGCTGGAGAGGGGGGTGGCGGAGAGAGTGGGGAGATGGAATGAATCAACCACTGCACTCCTCTGCTTGCTTGCTTGCTTGCTACACCACCTTTCACCCACTCACCAGTGCCGGACCTGCCGCCCCCTGTGAATTGCTGGAGGGGAGGAGTAGGGGAGGGGAGAGATGGAAGAGGGGAGGCGGAGGAGGAAAATGGGAGGGGGGATGCGGAAGGGAGTTCACCCATTAGTTTGCTTGCTGCACCGCTCTGCACTCCCTCACAAGCGTTGACCCTGCAGTGCTTCAAATGGCTGCAGAGAAGGGGCGGTGAAGACAGGGGGATGTGAGGTGGGGGAGAGGAGAGAAGGGGCGGTGAAGACAGGGGGATGTGAGGTGGGGGAGAGGAGAGAAGGGGAAGGGCGAAACGGGAGGCTTGTTGAGAGATCCTTGGAGTTGTTCTCAAAGCAGCAGTGAGTAAAAGAAGGCTCCAAGAAAGGAAGGCTTGTTCTTTGGAGATAAAACATGGAGAGAAACGGGTAAGAATATATTATATTTGTTTGCCATTTGCTTCATATTTGCTCTTTGTTTGATTGTTAATCGCTCAAATATGGCGTTCATATGGGAGATTGAAGCACCAGCGAATGTGGAAAGAAGGAAGGAAGGATGGATGGGATGAGGGGAGAAGCTCACCTCCGTCCACTCCCCCTCCTCCCAGCATTCTCTCATTGGCTGCATTCACCTGTGTGTGGCGCACACACACACGCACACACACACACACCCACACACACCCACACACACACACACACACACACACGCATGCACCCATGCACCCACGCACCCACGCACCCATGCACCCACGCACGCACACACACACACACACACACACACACACACACACACACACACACACACACACACACACGCACACACGCACACACGCATGCACCCATGCACCCACGCACCCACGCACGCACACACAAACGGAGTTGAAGTGCCTCGAGGTGTGCATCATGCTGATAACGGATCTGATCTGAATCCATGCTGGCAGCTGCCTTGGACGCGACGCTTAACTTACATTAAGTTATCTCTTCTCAACCACTCGATATAAGCACACCCGTTATAAGAAGACTCACTATAGCATCGGTGCGCCCGTCCACGAACCACTTGGTGAGGTCGCCCCGCTGCAGCACCAGCACGCACCCCTCCTCTCCCAGCAAGTACGCGGAAGCTTCCGAGAACAGCACACTGTGCGCCTGGCGCAGCCTGTACACCGTCGGGCGCGCAGGGGGGGCGGCGGGGGAAGGCTCGGTAGGGGGAGCAGCAGCGGAAGCTTCCTGAGGCTCCTCAGCTGCAGCGGGAGCAGCGGCGGGAGCAGCAGTGGGGGACTCAGCAGGGATGGAGTCGGGTTCAGCAGCAACAGACGATGACGACGCAGAGTCGCGCTTCGCCTTCTTCGCCGCGACTTCCGCCGCATTCATCGCGTCCGCCGCCGATCCTTCCCCCCCTTCCGCCGGCCGCTCCGCTTCCTCCGCGGCAGAAGGCTCCGCGGGGCCGGAAACGCCCGCCGCGGCGACTTGCGGCGGAACTTCCGCGTCCGATGGGGCAGCTGAGTCCGCCATTCCGCTTTTCGCGGGAGTAGATCGAGATCGGACGGTGCAGAAGCTTGCTACCCGGTTCTTCGGAGCAAGGTTGGTGGTTCGGCAATCCCAAGGCGCGGCCTTGGACGGAAGGCAAGAGGCTCGGCACTCCAAAGGTGTCGCCTTGGAGGTTCGGCAATCCCAAGATGCCGCCTTGGGAGGGAAATCAGTCAGCGGAGTCGAATGAAGAGGAGCGAGGAGTGACGCGAAGACGAAAACAGAGGAAAGGCCGCGAAAAGGCGCGAGCTTGATGCTAGCAGATGGTGACTGTAACGAGAGGAGCGATCGAGGAGCGGCCGTAGGACGAAACTTGCGGATGGAAGATGAAGCAGGGGTGGTAGCGGATGAAGAGACGAAGCGCGTCGTGATGGAACAAGGTGATACCGCCGCGTTGATCGTTTTACTAGCCGACGCTGGACGACTATTTCTAAGTAACGCTGTGCTACTGGATTCGCGCAAAGAGGGGGGGTGCGCGCGGAAAAGGCGGGACAAGGCTAGGCAGGATCGCACCATGGGATCGCCGCGCGCAATCAGGCAGAACGGGTTGGCGCGGGCGGGGCGACAGGCAGCCAATGCGGACTTGCAATGACTGCTGAGGTGGACTGGATTAACGTACGTCACAAGGCACTGCCTTGCCGTGTCAAGCGGCTGAATCGGACGTGAGTGGTTGTCGCGTACCAGCTTGTGAGACTTACCTTGCGCTGTGTTCGATGTGTTAGTCTGGATGCGGCTGAATGAGATAACTTACTCTGTGCAGCGGTCATTTGGTACAATAATCGGTTGGGTAGGGTAAGAGCAAATACGAACGTGTGGGAAACTCGTGGACAGGTCCCAGAAGTTGGACTTTCTGTTCAGAACAAGCGATTTAGTGCAATCCAGAGCGGTTTTGCTACTTCGCCACCTTGAACCTCTACACACCAGCCTCAACATTTTCCAGGAGGTAGATAGGTGGTCACAACTCCAAAAGGACCACTCTACAACGCGTATTTGGCGTACGAGGGAGTGGGCTCTCGGTTGGGCAATCAAAGTTTTGTAATCTAGTTGAGGCAGCCAAAAAAGGGGACAAGGATTGGTACATGCTGTTGTTGAATTTCAGAAAGGCATACGATCAGATGGTCCAGGACCCAGGTTATCGTAGCAGGGACGATATATACAACAGGGCTCCTCAACAGGTTGGTCTTCTTGGCAAATGCCTTCACTATGATGTGTGTGCAAGGCTACTATATGTGTCAACAGTAAAACAGGGAAAGGGTTGAAGGTGTAAACGGGGGTGGCACACTAACGGAAGCTTGGGCTTGGTGAAGCAAGCTGCGGACGGCTGCCATAATCAGGAGGAAACAAACAGCAGTTGGAGAAAGCGAATGGACTATTACGGGAATCTGCCAATGCATCGGGCCTGCTTACCAACGTATCCACATCTGCGCTAGTTCCCGCTCGGAAGGAATGCAATGCAAGGACATTCTCTCCGAGCCCATGCAAGGACATTCTCTCCAAGCCCACGCAGATCCAGCCCGCTAGAGAAGTTGGACAGTGGTTGGCATGGGTGAAGTGGAGCGGCTCCTTGGAATCTAGGTTTCACTGAGCGAGCGAAGAGCAAAGATGGTAAAAATGTGGTTACATCATTGTACCGGTACGGTACCGTAATACCGTATGAAGTGCATACAAATACAACCTTCTGACCTGCTAATCGAAATGGTAATGCACCCATTTGATGCTAAGACTCCAGGCTCCTCGAGCATTTGGAATCTGGAATCTTGGCATCAAATGTGTGCATGGTGCCCAAAACGTGTCCATTAAATGGAGGTAGGCATTTGGAGCCATTTATGGCACCTTTCAATAACCTGGCCCCCTCACCACTTTCCCTTACCCCCATGCTCTATGTAATGAATCAAAGACCTGACAACAGCTTCCCCAACATCCCCTCTCATCACCACCTTCCCCCGCCCGTTCGACCCGTAGCAGTGGTAGTGATGATCGTGGGGACACACATCCATAAACCGCGGCGCCTCCACTCGCCAGCTGTCGAAAAACTCTATATGGGGGACAGAACTGTCAGCCGGACCGGGACCAGCAGGCACGGCATTACTGCCTGCGTTTATCTGGTCAACCAGGTGTTTGGTCAGGCGATTAGCAGCGGAGAGAAAGAGGTTGGTGGCGGGGCCTTTGAAGACGCGGCTGGCATTGCTGCAGCTGTCCCCGCCGTTGGGCACTGGCGGTGCCGACCGCACAATCAGCCGAACACGGTGCCTCGTGCCCTTGGCTACTGGGCTTGTGGTTCCTGGGCCTGTGGCTAATGGGCCTGTGGCTAATGGGCCTGTGGCTGCTGGGCCTGTGGCTACTGGGCCTGTGGCAGTGCTGCTGCTGCTGCTTGCTGTGTTGCTGCGTAACAGGCGTTCTGCCCTTTCAGCACCACCTGTTGCTCTCGACTGCCTGCTAACATCAGCTGTCGATCCCCTGAGGAGGACGGCCGCGCTTGCTGCAGGAGATGCATCACCAATGTTGGTGGCAAAGGCAGCAGCTGCAGTGGCAGCGGAGGAGGCTTGGCCGGCAGAAGCACCAGCAGCAGGGGAGGCTTGGCCGGCAGAAGCACCAGCAGCAGGGGAGGCTTGGCCGGCAGAAGCACCAGCAGCAGGGGCGGCAGCAGCGGCAGAGGTGGCTTGGCAGTGGGCCCAGGCGAGGTATTCAGGGAGGTGGGAGCGGAGGGCGGAGAGCGGATGCAGACAACGCTTGCCGGCCCAATAGCCACTGTTAATGATGATGACGTCACTTGAGGGAGAGATGTTGGGGAAGGAGTCGTAGTGCTGCGAGTACTCCCCTCGGTTCCTGGTGCATGGAGAGGGATGGGGATGGGGAGGACGATAAGGGGGTTTAGCGGAGAGATATGGGGCAGCTCGTAGGTATTAGATATGTTGGGGAAGGAGTCGTAGTGCTAAGCGAACTCGCCTCGGTGCCTGTCAGTGGAGTAGTATGGGGAGGGCAGCCACGTGCAACCGAACTCATCATTGCCGTAAATACCATCCACCCAGTAGAATTTTAAGCAGAGCGAGGAGAGACAACAAGGGCAGAACGGGGAGCGGGCACAAGGGGGGTCCACTCACGAGCAGCCGAGCTCGTCGTTGCGGTAGATGCCATCCACCCAGTAGAAGATATTGTAAAGGGAGCAGTACTGGACTGACTTTTGAGAAGCGGGCACATGCATGTCCATCCAAGCCCTCTCACTCACGTGCAGCCGAGCTCGTCGTTGCGGTAGATGCCATCCACCCAGTAGAAGATATTGTAGAGGGAGCAGAGAAGGGGGAAGGGAAGGAACAGGGGCAGCTGCAAGGGGCCACTCACGTGCAGCGGAACTCGTCGTTGCGGTAGATCCCATCCACCCAGTGGAAGCTGATGCAGAAGGAGCGATACTGTGCTGATTGTTGAGCTTTCTCAAGAGTTAATTCAGTGGAGCAAGAAAAGGGTCCACTCACGTGCAGCCGAACTCATCATTGCGGTAGATGCCATCCACCCAATAGAAGTTAATCCGCAGCGTCTCGTTCCTCCCGTTCCGCGCCACAAACGCCAAATCATGCCGGCTTTTCTTGTTCCGCAGGTCGGCCTGGCCCGACAGCATGTAGAAGAGGTGGGCGGCAAGCATGCGGTGGTGCTTGTCCCCCGCGATCGAGATCTCTCGGATGCCTCGCCGGGTGAGGGAGGAGATCCACTCGCCCACTGGGGTCTCTGGAGGGGCACAGGGGAAGGGTACCCATTTCCATGTTCTAGTGCCTCTGGTGTCGCTGCTCTTGCTGCTCCTGCTGCCCCTGACGTCACTACCACTGCCACTGCCACGGCTACTGCCACTGGCACTGGCATTGGCGCTGTCAGCATCACCCTCGGGATTGACTTCACGCCATTGCCCCACAACTGACCCGCTGCACGGACTACGTCTCTCCTTCCCCTCCCTTTCCTGTTCGCCGCCTCTACTATTCACCTGTGTATCGTCCTCGTTAGTGGCTGCCTCGTTTTGAGGTGGCCACTTGGTGTCTAATGCTTCGGTTAGAGAGGTAGGTGGTGCTCTGGGTGGGAGTGTGTCGGATGGGAGGATTGTGATGGTCCATGCTGCAACGTCATGGGTGACGTCTGCATTGCTGAGAGAGGAGGAGGAGGAGGAGGAGGAGGAGGAGGAGGAGGAGGAGGAGGAGGAGGAGGAGGAGGAGGAGGAGGAGGAGGAGGAGGATAGGAGGAGGTTAGAGCAGCCTGCATGGAGGGAGACCCTGCGATCAGGAGGTAATCAGAAGTGGAAAAAGCCGTTAGAAGGCGTTGGAACACATACGACGGGGCCTTATGGGAAAACGACAGACGACGAAGATATGGCACATGAGAAGAACGCGTGAGAAGGAAAGAAGATGAGGCTTGAGAAGAAAAGGAGGTGAGAGTGGTGTAGTATTGTCGCTATAAGAACAACTGATCAATTATCACCGCAACAACTTATCGATCGCCATGAGAACATATTAAGTCACCATCAGAACAACTGGAAAATCATTGTTTAATCAATGTATCACTCACCGGTACGTCCCGGCGTCCCAGGCTCGGTAAGCAACGACGAATCGGGAGCAGGCGGGAGGGTCGGCACAGACAGGGTCGGCGTGGAGCAGCGAGGGGCCGGTGAGGGAGAGAGCGAGCTCACGCTTCCACCAACTCAGCACGGACGAGTTTGAGGGGTAGCTGAATGGTGATGCCGTGGCAGCGGTGGTGGCGGCGGAGGCGGTGGTGGTGGTGGTGACAGGCGGAGCAGCAGCAACAGTGGTTGTCACTGCAGCAGTGGAAGGAGAGGTGGTGATGGTGCTGCTGCCATCATTACTGGTCGTGTCATCAACGGGAGGGTGTGTCCACGTGGCGCCTGGCGATTCGACGCTGATGAAGAACGTGCAGGTCTGGCCTACAGTGCAGGTGGAACAGCCGCTGCCGTATACAAACAGTCCCCCGCGCTCTATAGCGGGATCTGG